TACATCATAGAATGGGACAAAAAACCAAGGAAATATTAGCCGGTTTAAACGGTATGGAATTGAAATAAATAATTGTTGGCTTTCATCCTCGTAAAGAAATAAAATTTGATGTTATTATAAAAATTTATTACTTGTAATCTGTTTAGGTATTTATGAAATGAATGAAATAGTACATAGAAGATAACAGATAGATAGATAGGTGGATCAGACTATATTTTGAGAGAGGATTATAAATAGATTTAAATTTCACCAACAATGGCGGATGATAGGACGTGTTTTTACATATAATTTATTTGTAATTTAACTTACCGACTGAGAGTGATCCCAACTTAATGTATTTTCACCAAAAACCAAAAACAAAATAAAATAACCAACTGGGTTTTCTTCCACAAAATAATAGTTTCTTCCAAATAAAATAAAACTTAAACCAAACTCTTAAACGAGGGACTCTCTCAGTCGCCTGAATACGCCTGTTCAACTCAAGGAATTCCAAGCAAGTGCCGGTCTGATGGCGCTAACGCTGTTACCACGATCAGAGGCGTAGACAGAGGGCGTGATTTATTGCCAACTTTTAAAAAATAAAATTTACCGAAGTTATTCAAATGTTTGGTTTAAGAATATTTAGAAATGAATTTAATTTGTAATTAAATTAAAGGATTCCAGTGACAAAGCAGTAAATGGGTATTTAAGTAACGGACTCGTTACACAGTCCTGAAAAAATCAAAATTAAAACAGTCTTAGAGATATGACACGTGAATTTTAGCATTATAACTTGTTTCAGAAAGAATAAATGCGCCTTCCTTCAAACCGCTACTTCTTCGCTTTCTTTCATTAATTACAGCAGTATCCCACATTGCATTGTAAAACTGTCTATACATGATCATTCTTGGATGCTCCTTTGATACCCAAAATTCTTTAATTTCGCGTATCGGAAAGAGGCATTTCTTCTTATACATGATGGAAAGATGATTGGTCCACTAGCGAAGTATTTTATGATTTTCAGAAGTAGGTAATCTTTACCACATTAAAAGGTGCTGGCTTTTCTCTAGCAGAACGTATTAAATCACATAACTCGTGAATGGTCTCGTACCAATTTTTGTATTTTATAATTCCCATATTCTTGTCAGTCCATATATAAGAATGGCCTCTAACAGTAAATATAACCTTGATGTAATCCAACTGTTTCTGTTTATGAACGACATGGTGTAGAAAACGAAACATATAATTATTGAAAGTATGTGAACATTGAAGAGAAACAGAAAGCTGTCGCTTATAATACACGTCATTAATATTTATATTAGGAATGGGTAAGTTCCTACCATAGTCCAGACAGATTGATACCCTCGTCACATCTTGGGAGCTTGTTGTTCTGGACTAACGCTTTCTCTGAGATAGCCAAAAGATAAGTTGAATTTGGTAGTGAAATTTTTTCTATAAAATTCATAGAATACAGAACAATCTCGATGTTTGCTGTTTCTCTTTAAACATCAGAAATATTTTTTTCAAATTTATCTCTTCTGGTAGATAAGATCTTGTTGGATCTTTTGTGCTATAATGACTAACATGTCCTTTGAATGAAGATATGTGATCCTTTATTTTATTAACATTACTTTTAGAGGAAGTTTTCTAGGACGATTCCAATGTAATGCGCGATTATTTTTGAGGGCTATTTCACCACTTTTCAAAGATTTAACTAAGTACCTGATTTTGCTTTTCATATTACCATGCAAGACTATAAAATCTTGACGACACACGTTCTCCTCGAGTACGATATTTTTTCATTGGAGCCTCTCACTTTGTATGTAACAACACAATCTTTCAAAGTTGCTTCATTTTCATATTTCCTACGGCGTCTAGTTTACACCGGTACAATGCTTATTAGACCACAAAAATACAGATTTTGTTCATTAACAGAGGTTAAACTATTAAATTCTCTTAAAATTTGTTGTTTTGAAACCTGCGAAATTTGAGCAAAACAATTTAATCGCTTGCAGCAACACTCCGTTCAGAACTCATGACAGTTTTTTGTTTACATTTTGGATTCGGCCATATATTGGCTTTTTCTTAGAACTTCGTACACCAAATTGCACAGCATCTTCATTTTCACCCTCAGTTTCACTCACATCCATTTTTTAGTCAACTTTAATATAGTTTTAACACCAAACTACTACAAACTTAAGGAAGCCGTCGCGTTTCGATATTTTGGACTTGTTGATTTTCTGTACCACGTGGACTTAGCTTATTGTTGTCGTGTATGGGCATATATTTATGGACTTTTTCTCATGACTTTTGTTATTATTGCATTGTTTAAAGGTTTGAGAAGATGCAAACTGGAATTTGAACTGTATAGCCTTTATTTGATACCTTCGATTTTTCTAGTTTGCAGTGGTATAAACTTTCTGAATTATGAATGAATTTCATGTTTAATTTTGTAATCATGTTGTTGTATATTGTTTGTCATAAAGTTTCTGTTTAAATATGGAGTTAGTCTTTATTGGCAGGATAGTTTGATATTCTAACCTGATAAAAGATACAACTTATATTATGGATATAGTACCATATACCATATATATATGGTATTTAAAGATGACTTCTAACTGTTAACAGGTATGTGTATCTGGATGGTTAGTGATAGTGATCAGATCAGCCCTTTTCACTATCTTATCGTGGACATTGAAAATTTATTTCTGTTGGGTTAATAACGAAATCTATAATAGATTTCTGATTAAGCGATTTTCTCTCATAAGTGAATATATGAATGTCTTTGAGGAAAAAAGTATTCCATATTTTAAGCTGGCAATATAGGTTACAGAATTCAATTTATTTTTCTCCACTTTGATTGATTGTGTAATTTAAATGTACGTGTAGGCAATAGGCGTGGAAAGATCTACATATCTTCCAACAACGTCGTTTTCTAGCCTATTGCTTACACACAAGCAAACAAACCCAGCATGTGAGGCATGCATACTCTTTAGCGAATTTCATGTAGGTGTTACAATTCATTGGGGTGAGGGGATTGATCCAAGTAGATCAGAAACCAGTCCGCGTTGTCCCAATTCTTCAAATCATTCTCCACCCGCGATAGCACACTGATGTGCTATATAGGCTACAAATCTTTACAAAATTCTTGTCACATGTGAGTCCTGGGTACAAGGACACCCGGATATCCACATGAAATACTTCTCAGAGTTAGACTGGAGACCGTGAGGCGTTTCCTGCTATTATCTTATTTGACATTTCATCATTGTGCTTTTACTTGTCGGGCGCCGAGTAACTGGGTTTAGTTCGGCGCTCGGGAGTTTGGGCCTCTTCATCACGTTTTTTGTATTTTTATTGGTAATATTTTTTACTTTTGCGGCGCTTGCGCCGTTTTGTTAGATTTTTTATTGCGTTTTTGTTTGTTTTTGAATTTTAAGGGGGTGCGTAGATCTCTATATTTTTCTAAGGCCTGACTCTGGTTAAAGACTCCTGATGAATTCGACCATTACTTGATGGAAGTTCATTTTATCTAACAATAAATACTTTAGTATTTTATTATGTCAAAAACTTTACTACAGCTGTTTCGTCAGAGTACTTTTCTCAAGTAATTACTTGAGAAAAAAATATTATGTATATTATACACAGTCTTTTTATTTTTCAGTTAATAGAATGTTTGAAAACTCACAAAACCTGCATAATAAAATGCAGTACTTACATGAACAACTTTATAGATTGTGTAGATACCGCTAGAGTCGAAGCTATTAAAAAATCATTTTTAAAAGAAGAAGAAAATGAGTGTCACAAAATTCCCAGTGAAAAAACTTGTAAAATTCCTTTGGATGAAGAAGAAGAAGAGGAAGAAAATTAGTTATATCTTATTTCATACACAAAAATTTTAATATATACTGCAACGTCAGATTGAGTTTTTTTATCCGTGTATAAGGGGTTTTCAAAGTTTTTTTTTTTAAGGTAATGTATTTAAGAATCAGAATATTACATAGGTTATTTCATTGGCGCGAGGGGGGTTGTCGAAGACTGTCTGGATTGTTATATTGGTCATAGGTCTTGTTGGATTGTTATATTGGTCATATTATACCAAGGTGTGATTTTAAACATTCCTAATATTTTTTATTGTCTACTTGGAATGACGGCAATTAGATTTGCTTGCACATCCCCAAACTTCAATTCCATACGTCAATATTGGTTTAATTATGGTATTTTTTTCCAAACTCAATTTTAGTTCAAGTAACTTGGTTCTTTTGTTTTCAAGTCTATTTTCTACGTTATACATACTTTCAAAGTTAACTTTGGGTCTAAATAAATACCAAGGTATTTAGAAGAGTTATTTTTAGGAATTTCTTTGTTATTTATATATAGAGGGGACACTGTTCGTTTCTTATAGTAAAATTAATATATATGTTAATGACTTTTGACCTGAACGAAGACCTGAAGATACGATTCAAGTAGTCAAAACAAGTCTAGTGCATGAATTTTTAATATTTTGTACAACAGTCGATCATGTCCAATATTGTCAAAGGCTTGCCATATTTGGTTCCCTGGAGTAACACATATTTATTAATTGTAATATGAGTCTTTCTAATACCTTAATAAAACTTTCTACTGATAATTGAGGTAACAAACTGATTGAGTATATAAGATGAAACTTCATTTGGAGTTTTTCAGGGTTTTGATATAAAAATTAATTCAGCAATTGTAAAATATCGAGTTAGTAGTTTAGTCGAATAATTGTGCATTATGTAAGTGACTACTTGGCGCAGCAGTTATTTTAACATTATTGAAGTTATTTTATTAATACCTGAAACTTTCCTTTTTTCTTCGTCTGCTTCATAGTTCAGTGTAAATACATTAACTAAGTATTTACCACATAATGAGGCCTTTTAATCGTCACTTGTTTATCTTTAACTAACATTGTGTTATCTAATTTTAATTGCTTGTTTGGCCAACATTTGAACAGACAATGGAAAGTCCAATAATTGCCTAAGCGAAAAAAACTTAACTGCTAAACATAGTGCTTATAATATTGTTTTTTGATAACATACTTAAATAAACATTTTAAAAATAACAAAAAAATTCAAATATGTAAAACCTACAACTACCGCTTCTCTAAAGTTTTGAATTTGGCTTCCAGTCTTTTAGAATATGCATCCAACTTATAGGCTGCTTGTTCTAATTTGACTACACTAGCTTCAATTTGGTCAATTTGCTGCAGTAGTGGAACCAGAGAGTTATCTGTAAAAATATATAATAGAGGTATTAAATATATTTTTAAGCAAACACAATAAATATTATTGAATACATATTGAGGCAAAATAAAAATAGGTAGACAAAAATTGAAGAAATAAAAATAACAGTAAAAATAAAAAAGTTTTTGCAAGTATATATATATATATATATATATATATATAAATACTGGGAGACAACAAGAAATATTGAACTTGCATATCATTTAAATTATCATAAAAAAGAAGTCCGCTGAACAAATTGACAGAACAATAATGAGAAAAGTAATACAAGGAATAAGGATTTGTCAAAGGATAGACGAAATAAAAATAGTTTTTGGAAATGATAACATATGACTTTCTTATGATTAAATGATAAAAGACTACTGTTTACTAAGTGTATTATTTTACGAGGACTGTACATTAGACTCCTCTCTTTTGATATTAAAAACCATCTTCATTGTAGAGCTTTTAAAAATACATAAAACAACTGTCAGCTTTATTTATTTACAATACAATTTGTTGTACAAAACTTTTCAATAAATGTCAAGCTGTTGTTAATTTTAAAAAGAATAAAGTAATATTGTTAGGTAGTACATTGCATGGAATAGAACCAGCAGATGCAGTAAAAAGGTACAGTAAAATTTCAAAAAACAAAAATAGATGTTGCATGCTCTTCCATTGTAAAACAGTACAATAAACATATGGGAGACATAGATACAGCTAATACATTAATGGGTTTTACAAATCTCCACACAAAGCTAAAAGATGGTAGTTTGTAATTTTTGTCTATATTGTTGACATGTGTGACAAATACTTATTTGCTGAACAACATAGACTGTAAAGCTTTGAACATAAAGTTACAGCTAATACATTAATGGGTTTTTACAAATCTCCACACAAAGCTAAAAGATGGTAGTTTGTAATTTTTGTCTATATTGTTGACATGTGTGACAAATACTTATTTGCTGAAAAACAACATGTGTGACAAATACTTATTTGTTGAACAACATAGAGTGTAAAGCTTTGAACATAAAGTTCATGCCTCTGAAGAAATTTAGATTGGACATTGCAAAAGTATTATGTCAAGTTGGAAAAGGTTCCAGAGGAGGAGGCCAAGATTGAGCCTGAGTGGTTTTCCAAAAATAAGGTGTCCAGAAGTTGAATAGCCTAATGATTTAGTAAGATTAGATTCTTATGCACATTGGCCAATACATACCACAAAAGGAAGATGTAGGTATTGCATCAAGGGAACAAGTTGTCTAAAGTTTGAAAAATGTGAAGCAAGGCACTGTCTCACTGAGGAGAAAAACTGTTTCAAACCTTTCATCAACACAAAAAATTGTAAACTGCTTTGTTTTTTAGTCACCATATAGTTGCAATAATAAAAAATTTAGCAATTTTTGAAGTTTATTTTGCAGACTTTGTTACCATATGGTTACATTTTGTAATTTGTTCCAAAATAATGTTTCAGTTATATAAATATCAATATTTGATTATCTAGAGACTGCTTTTATAAATAACTTATTTTTTAAAGCCATTTAAAGTGGTGGCTGATAAATTCAATGTTACTGTACTTGTACATGTTCTGATAAAGGGAAACAAGAAAAACTCAACAAGTATATAAAAACACTAGAAGAAATACTGACGGAATTCCAAAATAGATTTCAAAACTTGAAATCTTTTAAATTGTTTCCTGATTTTTTTTCTGAATCTATTTGAAATTATTAACGTAACCATAGCACATAAAGATGAGTTGTCCATTTACAATATAATTATTACCCAAAGAACATCTGGAGAATTAGAATTAATAAAAATGCAAAAAGATCAAGCTCTACAATTAAAATATAAGTCGATGCTCATAACTGAATTTTGGAAATTTGTACTAGAATCAAAGCATCCTGAATTAAAAAAGGCTGATTATCAAATTATTTCCATAATCAGAACAACTTACTTATGTGAACCATTTTATTCTATTTTAAAATTCGTGAAATCCAAACACTGATCAGTATAACTAACTAGCATTTAAAAAAATTACTGAGAAGTGCTGTCACCAGTTACTCACCAATTTTGAAAAATGGCTAGGACTATCAAGGTGCTTCGCCACCTTGCTCTATAAAATAATATATTATCAACTTCAGAAAAATCTTTTCCATCCTAAAATAAATACATAAATATACATACTCACACAATAAACATATTATTCAGGCAAAACACATAAATCCAATACAAAAAGACCACTAGCGAGGCCCATGAAGAGGTGATATGGAGGAAGATAAGATGTATGACAGCTGTATATCAACATCACAAGAGCTGGGATGATAGAATAAAGAAGAAGAAGACATATTGTAAGTACACATTTAATTTATTGGCCAAAATGTCAACCAGCCAAGTATGTAGTTCTGAGGTGACCAATTAAGAGACATTGTAATGTATTATTAACTAAGATTATTCTTCCAAGTTATTAATATGAATCATAAGTTGGGTATGTGTGTGCACTATTGACTTTGAAAAAAGCTAATCCACAAACTTATTTTAATTAATCCTAATTTAATGCTGTAACTTTTTACTTCATTAAATTTAAATTTGAAGAAAAATTAAAAGTGATATAAAAAAGTTATGCTTTCTCATTAGATCAGTTATAACATTTGTGTTATTTGAAGTAAACATAATTTTAAGTTACTTATTTAGAAGTTATAGCAGAAGCAAAGTAAAGAGTCTAGAACACCAATTTTATATAGATGTGAAGGAAAACTATGCAATTACTAGGTACTTAATGTAATTTACTGAATGTAAAAGAATGTAAAAGGTCTGTCTTAATACCATGGACATATAAACATAGATGGACTCAGTTATTTACATAAAATTGTGTATTCAAAATTATTTGAATAGGTCACATTCTCAGCACCTTCAACTGTTGTCACGTTTTGTTTCAAAATTTCTTATTCGTGAGTCGCTGAAAATATTACTCCCTATTTTATACTATACAGGTGCTATCAAACCAAAATAATAATTTATTGGTTAGATTAATATATTTAATTGTAATCAAAATATCAAGTGTGCACATAGTGTGCATTATCATTTAATAATAGCGTATTATAGATATCAATAAATTATTTTATATGTAGAAGCACTGAAAACTATTTATAAATGGCAACAGTTGTTTACATTTCTCTGTCTTATGGAGCTACGTCAAACTTCAAATGCTGTTCCATGTTTGTTTACTTTTTACAGTAGATGAGGAAAAAGTTGTTTTTCAATATTTTGGCTGTATTTTGAGTGATATTTGTGAAAAGTGAAATAAAATAAACGAAATATTTATATCCCGATCTCTCATTTCATTTGTAAGTACATACAATTTACATTATTTAAGATGAGGAAATGAGGAAGCGTGTTTGTTTACATTTTAATAGGCGTACCATTGGGTTTATTCATGTTCATTAATGTATTGAATAAGATATGAGTTCATGAAATTAGTAGACATTTTTAAATTGTAAGTAGACATCATCTGATTAAAAAAGATCTGTTTAGTACCTTTTTAATTTAATATTTCTCATGGATAGAAATAAATTAGTAAAATGAATAAAACTCATTTATTTTTCTATGTAGGTTTCCAAATAATATTGACGATCAAACTATTTGGGTAGCAAATTTAGGAGAAAACAAATATTTTTTATTGTAGCATTATTTTGATACCTATTAAAAAATTAACTTGAATTCAACTATATTTAATTGTATTAATTTTAAAGCAAATAAAATTGTATTTTAATTTTTCTATAAAGACATGATTTATTAATAGTTAAACTCTCATTTGTTTTTAATTCTTTGAACGTGTTTTTATACATTATTACTACTTCCAATTTTTAAAATGTGAATAATTACCTGCGAGTAAAAATTCAAGCACGCTTATGCTCATTGCGGAAGCATCACATTCTATCCAAGCTTCAAAACATTGTGTGTTAAAGGTATCTTATTGCTGTGTCCATCTATGTTTATATGTCCATGCTTAATACTTTAACAATAAATCAATGGTTCCAATATCAATAAATAAATAATATTTTTTGAACTTTGATCAAATGAAAGGCAGTTATCAAGCAAAGATTTAATTAATAAAACTGTGCTCAATATCTGCCTTTCATTTGATCAAAGTTCATTTATTCGAGCATTCAACCTTACACCAATTTAATATTTTTTGGTTTAAAGAGTTGTTTTATGACTGTCATGTAATTAAATTAAATTAGTTAACCTAAATTTCTACAAGCTACCCCCATCTGTTTTGTCACACTGATAATTGAATGTGTGGTATTGTTTATGCTTGTTCCTATAGAATTCTTTACTGTTGGTTTTTAAATTACTACTGTATAATACAGTTTCATTATTTGACTTTAGAAACTATAATTTATGAAGAATTTTTGTATTCCAGTTTATACACATAAGTTAATAACAATAAAATGCTTACATTTTTCATTTAATTCATTCATACTTTTTTTCACATTGACAGCCAAATTTTTCATATCTGAATACTTAGTAATTACTGATTTATTCATTACTTCTAGTAGTCTATAATCGTCTAAGGTTGAAGTTAATTCTCCATATAAATATTCTGAAGTTTTACTAAACATTGTATTTGCTAGTTGACTTAGGTTTGGATCATGAGGATCTAGAGCTTCAAAACTAGATGTAGAAGTAGATAGAGTAGGACCTAAAATATAAAATGTATACCTTTATATTTATATATTGTTTAAAGGATAAATTGAAAATTACATTTGGAAAGATACCACTGCTACAATTTTCATTTGCAGGAAATATGAAATAAACTGTAATTAGTTATAAATATAGTACCTCTTATTGGAGAATCCGTAACCCCTTGTTCTCCATCCTCAGACATTTTAAAACAAATTTTGGGATTTATTTAATTTAGTAATATAAATATAAATAACAAAATTATTTTTGTGTACATAAACTTTTGACACTTGACAGTGACAGTGACAGTTTACCTATTGTTGTCCTTTTGTCTTTGTCATACTGTTATAGGTGGTTATAGGCTTTTCAATTTTATTGTCCATAAAACAAAGATAGGCAATTCAACTAAAGTGAAGTTAGTCGTTTCATGATTTCTCTCATCACGTCAGTGGAGTGTATTAGAGAAATTCAATTAGGATATTTATGAGATATAGATAAGAAAGTTGATGAAGATTTCAAAATCATCACAAAATAACGATAAACTGTTAACAGTTAACAGAAAAACTTATATAAGTAGAGATTTACAAGTTATAGCTAGCCTGGCACCATAATCAATGACAGGAATGATTACTCTAAAGAAATTACGAGTGCGCATAGAAGAAGCACATAATATAAATTTTAAGAAACTGAGGAAGGCGCTTTTCACAAGAGATCTGAAGCTGATTTGGCAACGTGTATTTATTATAAATTTTATTAAAATTTATTACCACTATAAATGTCTCATTGGTCGTCATCATAGACGTCAGTCGTCGGTTCCCATTTTAGGACTAGCACACTTATATATATTTAATCTATGACTAGCACCTTAATGACGGAAGGTTCCTCCTTATCAAACGAACAAATGTCAAAATATTTTATCCAAAATCTTGAAGTAGACTGGGATGGTTGCTGGCCCATTTCCCTGACTCAAAATCACCTAGCCTTAAAAGTTGAATAAGGTCTAACTGCAGAGAACTAGTAGATGAAAGAGAAACAATTCCTAATAAACCGTCGTTAACCCTTTCAGTCACAACTTTTTTTGAGCTATGGGAAAATTCTCATATTTGGTATATAAAATAAACTATTTTTGTTGATAATTTTAACATCATTTTTTTTTTGATATGTCATATGTCACTTGGCATATGACATGTCCATGTTGATGGACATTATGACTTGAAGCAAAATAAAATAAACCTGAAGATTTTAGAAATTTATTTGAATATCATTAGAATGACGAAATAAACAATATTCTTTGTAAATAACGAATTAACCATTTTACATGAAATTAAAAAAAAACAGTTACGACCGCTTACAAAACATAAGTGAACATTACATTTCAAGCAAAATGTATGTGATTTTCCCTTACAGTTCTCCATTTTGCAACGTGTACTATCTTTTTTTTTCCATCTATTTTCGGAAAATGTCCATAGCTGTCGAACCGTAATTCAATATATGGCCTTGCTTCAGTTTTGGTTTTTTTATTATTTGGTGTACCAGTATTTTCTTGCCCAGATGGTCTGCCTCTCTTTGGTGGAACCTTATGTAAAATGAGGTGTTGCCCAATACTCATTCTAAAGTCCCACAAATCCAGGATTTTGTTGTGTTGTACGCCTAGCAGTTCAGCTTGTTTTCTATATTCCAACCAGGAATTTACTATTGCCATATCTATAGCATGTGTTATCATACGTACAGTCCATTTTCTGGATCGTCTGTAGGATCTGTAAACGCTCAATAAAAAATCTAACTTATCAACACCACCCATGTTGGAATTGTAAGGCGATATGGCTTCCGGTCTAGATACATTTATATACTCTTTCGACGTCTTATCCCAACGTAATATTTCTGAGTCATCGTCTTTCATGAGTAAATCCAGAAGTTCATCCTCAGTCAAGGGTCGTGATCATCTCTTTTCTTTACTAGTTGACGGTAAACTTTCCATTTTATGGATATCTAAAACAACACGACCTTGCTAATTTTTATATGCATAAGTATACCTAAGTTATTTTGTCTATCTACATGGACATATAAATATACACCACTTTATAAGATATTTTCAGTCAACAGTTTGATACATAATATAAACACACTATACTAATGCTCTTTACTTACCCAAATCAGCAGGTATTTATATGAAAAAACAAGTTTATTCAATAGAAATCGTTCCAATAACAAACAGGTGTTTTCACCACCACGACATCGTGCTAAACGCAACCTGTTTTGCGTTTTGTATAGCTTCACAAATCGACTAACAGATGGCTATCAATGTATTCAATGCTTTTCTTATGCATGTACCCACACATGGACAAAATGATTTGGGCGATAATAACCATCGATGTTTTAAGAAAATGCTTTGAAAATCGATGACCATCGGTGTGGACACGATGACCGAAAGGGTTAATATAAAAATGTTTTAACGTTTGTGAGGCATTAGGGAAGCGTAACTCTGCCTAATTGGCCAATCTTGTAGAGTTTGGGTTAAAGAGGATTGTAGGGAAGTGAAGTAACAACTATAACGAGTCATGGTTTTAAGGCCACCGGTTGATTAATTTCGCCAAGAATTCGATCAGACTTTAAAAGAAAATATGAACCAATTTAGCACCTATGAGCATGTCTATAGGACCTAGTTGATAAAATATGTGATCGACTGGTTTCAGACTAGTTTCCAACGAGAAGATCGGATTGTCAAGATCACACGGTTTCTGACTTGTACATGTCGACATTCCGTTTAGACCTTTCACAGAGATTCATAATTTATTACGGAAAAGACCTAAGCGCCGAACAAAATTATCTGAAATAAAATTAGCCATGGAGCCTTTATCCATCAGGACACAAATTTTTTGAAAATTGCCTCTGAAAAGAGATCTTTGATATGTATCAAATAAGTGGATAACAATACCAGAGCAATACAGACGAGGATATTAAACGTGGTTATGTATAAAGGTTAGTGTTTGTGTTGTCAAACGAAAATAAGCAAAAACAAACTAAAATATAGGACAATACCACGAAAATTAAATAAATCAAACACCGAAAAATTGCTCTAGATTTGAGAATTGAGAATTGCTCTTCAGACTGCTGCAAACAAGTAAACATATTATTGCCAATAAAAATAAGTACAGAGTAATAAAAGTAATAAGTAAAATAATAACGAATTAGGTACAGAATGATAAGAAAAGTATGATAAAAGTATTTATCGATTAACAAAAAGAATAAACAAAAAAAAAATAAAAGTAATATATTGTTACGAACATGAATTCGGAGTGGCCCATGTAACGGTTGCATCTCGAAAGCGCCGAGAACTTTCTACAGATGTATCGAGCGCGGGAGAGTCGACCCGTCAAAAAAAGAATTAGAGGTGGGACTACTTCAGATAATTCTAGAACAATACTTTTGGTATATATATATAACGATGTTATGAGTAGAGGGGTGTTGATAAGATATTACCGAACTGTAAACTTATAAATAAATATATTTATATAAATTCGAACCGCTCATTTTATTTAATCTCGCTACAGTTAATGTCTGGTGTGCGATTTCAAAATAAATTCAGCAGTGACTTTTGAAAAAGATTTTGAACTTTTGAAAAGTATTGTTCGTCGGGAACATCCGCGTAGTTCGGTAGTGATCTTTGTATGAAAGAACATTTAAAAAAGTACGTGTGTCCCTGACCAAAGATGCTGCTAGTACAACTGTTAGTAAAACAGTTGCGTGAGCAACTAGAAGAACGCGATGAAGGCTGAAGCGGGTCCAAGAAGATCCTTCAAGAATGACTAGAATGTTCTTAACAAGAATGGAGATGACCCCGAGACATTCCATTTTCAATCAGCAGAAGAAGCAGTTTTAATAAAGAAAGAAAAAACTTCTAAAAAAAAGATGATAAATTAGAGAACTTTTCCAAAAGATTCGATGAAAAATTCGAAAATGTATCTAGAAGATTCGACGAGACTTCACAAATTATTAAAGAAGTAGCTAGACAAAACGACGAGAAACTCGAAAAGGTTTCTAGAAGATTCGACGAAGTATATACTCAGAACAATGAGTTTGAAGAAGTTTCTAAACAATTCGATAAGATACAGAAAAATGTAAACGACGTAGAAAAAAAAAAGAAAAGGTCAAACAGTTAGAGACTATGATAACCAATACAAAAGTGCTACCACCAGTTAATATAGTAGCCTTAACACTGTGTTGCCCAAGATCTTGATACGACTAAAGCTGGATTTATAGTTTGACGGACTGTAGACGCAGACGCACTGGAAAATGGTCAACATAGACTTTTGTGTACTCTTATTTATAAATGAACGTAAACGCATGACGGGACGTAAGCGAAACGCACTGTTACGGAAGAATTGGTCAACTTTCATCTTTTACAGTGCGTCACTTGCGTCTGGCCAATCAAAAGGAAGGAATTTTGTTCTATCTGGCCCGCCTACCATTTTATAAAGTTGCTTATTAACATATTCGAATTTTGATTTTGATGATTATTTGTTACAATGGACGTTAAGAATTTATAAAATAATAATAATAAATAATAAAAGGATATTATAGTATCGTGGTCATCAGTCTAGCCACTGTTTCTACCCATGAGCAAAAATTACACTCCGTCGATTTATAAATTGAAATAATATTTACAGTCCGTTTGTTACGTCTGCAGTGCGTCTACATCTAAAGTCCGTCAAACTATAAATCCAGCTTAAAGGGATCTCATCCGTATTTTATAAGAAGTTCGGTCGTTTAGATGAGTTACAAAATCAGTAGCCTAAAGTTGGAAGAGTACTGAGATTAGAAGATGGTACTCGATCTTCGCTGTATATGGTGACCAGGAAGTCGTATACATAAAGGGCAACCTACGAGGATATATGGCGTGCTCTAACTAATTTGAAGAAAATTGTGTGCAATTATGAAATCAAGAATTTGGCCTTACCCAAGATAGGCCTTGCACTAGAAAATCTGGATTGGAAGATTGTCAGAAGCATGCTTGCAATGATCTTCCGAGAAACCGGCGTACGAATTACTGTGTGTTGCATTAACCCGATGAGATCGTATCCTTCAGAGTCAGTAGATTGTTATTTCTTTCTAAGGGGTTCATGCAGAGCTGGAGAGTCCTGTAGATTCCGCCATCCTGGGCCTACATATAGAGTGCATATAGAGTTGCTGATCGGGACGCCCAGTTTTAAGAGGGGAGCAGTGATACGAACATGCCACATCGAGCGCGGGAGAGTCGACCCGTCAAACAACGAATTAGAGGTGGGACTACTCCAGATGGTTCTAGAACAATACTTTTGGTATATATATATATATATATATATGTAACGATGTTATGAGTTGAGGGGAGTTGATAAGATATTACCGAACTTATTAAATTTATATAAATTCGAACCGCTCGTTTTATTTAAAAACGGTACAATGTGTATAATCAGATAAGAAGATTATGCTTTTATTAAAAATTGTAGAAAGTACGAAATAAATGTATATAATGTGTAATATGACCCAAAAGTAAAAATATATATCTTGAAGGACCGATGTTTATTAATTTATCTGACTCGAACTCCCTAGTTAGGCTATTTACCGAAAAAACGAAAATGACGCGTCTCGTCTTTAAATGTGATTCGGAGAAAAGTTAAGGAACTATCCCCCACACGATATCTATCTTCTAATTTATGGCGTGGTTATTGAAAAATGTTGAATGTTGTTATGAAATGTGTTTGAGTTGCCATTTTAACATTGGAAATTGAAAGAATATAATAAGCGCTTCAATAAGATCATATGTTAACAAAATAGGAATAATAAAACAAAATATTTAAGTAAACTAATACGTTTCCAAACAATATCAGTTACCGAGAAATAAACAAGCATGGTGTCCAATACTGTAATATCTAGCTAGGACTTCAGGTTTTTATTTTTAAGATAAAAATAAATTAACTGTACTTACATAAAAATGATTCCTTATCATATTCTCAGGAAATTTCTTTTCTATATCCTTGAAAATAATTTTAGTTTCTGTAAATGTGAATTAAAACGCTGCTTGCCTGTTGAGCTAGTCTTTGATTTGAGTAAGTACTTAGTTAAATTATTAAATATACAAAATTATACTTTTAGTTCTGTTTATATTTAAATTAAGTTTCCTTCGATTTATAAATTCGAACTGCCAAAAGTTGTATCTTAATCTACGCTACTGCTGAAAGTGTTTTGCAGCTATCTTCATTAGTCATCAGTCATCTGGATAAAGAAATGTTATATTTAATTTTGACAGATTTTAATAAAATGTCAATATAGTAAACATTCTCTGTAAATTATCTATTTTTACTTAGAAACACTTTTTATGACTCATTTATCAATAATTATTATGTACACATAAAGATTATATATCAAATATCCTCAAACACAAAGTGTGTCAGGCAGATATGATATAAAATTTATATATTTTAAATAAACAGTCGCCTTTTTTTAAACAAAAATGATTGCTCCAGCTGAAGGTTCAACTAACAATGAACCATTAGTGAATAATTCCAATAGTTTTAGGAGAAGAATTTCAGGTATGTTAGTCTATTTATTATTTAGTCTAGTGCTTGTCTATTAATATTTGTTGACTGATGAAACAAAATTTCACAAAGCCAAACAATGAATCAATTTACATAGCACAAGATGTGGGTAATACATGGATGTGGGTATTTTTTGTTCATCTAAATATTTTGATTAAAAAGATCAGGGGTACTTTACAGTTAAACAACAACAATGTTAATAATAAATACATATTTCATGCCTAGCCCCTAGTAAAAAAGAAGATATTGAAGAAGTCCAAAAAAGCACTTCATCCTTTTCTGTATTTAAAATTTGTAGTTTATATACATTAAACTATGAAATAATTGTAACTAAATAGAAACTGATTATTATTATCAATTTTATGTTCTTATCACGTTTCAACATTGGTGGCATATTGCTGGTTACTGACCTACTGTTATTGATTAGAATTGCTTGTTTTTTATATCTATAATATATATTTACAATTTATGATACATGCCAATGAACAGTTGTGTAAGTAAATCTCATTTAATAGATCATTTCAGTGATTTTTTTTAAAGCTATGAGTAATTTACATAGTAGATAGTGTGCACATTAAATGAATGGAAAGACTCATTTAAGAAGGATTTTTGTGTTGTTGTATAATGTTGCTTTGCTTGTATTTTTATTAGTTATCCAAACAGTGTACTGGCAGTAACAAGTGATGTAGGAAAATTTAGGCAAAATAATAATACCTGAGATGTGTAACTCAGCATTCATAAGATATTAGATGACTGTGCTTACACAAGTGCAAGAATAACTTGCATCCTTATATACACAAGTCTATATGAGGATGCAAGTTATAGTGAAATAGAAATAGAGAAAGTAGAAAATTGAATAGTCTAGAAAAAACGTCCATCTGTACAGCTGCTTAAATTTTTTTTTCATGAATTTTGATTTGTCATACATTGCATATGTTTAGTAGAAGAAAGAATAACTGAACATACAGTAAAAGATTAAGGCAATAGGATTATTTTTGCTTACAAAAGCAAAGGCCACCATATTAAACTGGCAGCTTTATTTCACCAAGGGCATTTATTGCATTGATTATTATATTTGATAAATTCCATAAACATAGCATTAAATAACAGTGTAGTTTATGATTTGAACAATGATACATGCAATGAGCAATGAGAAAACAAAGAAGCAAGTTGAAGCAACTATTATAACACTTAGTGATGGGACTATCCATTACTTTAAACTAGCGACTAGTCGACTACTTTTAAATCGAGGGGTCGAGCGAAAACCCGATAAATGACAAAATTATGAAATACGGTATTTTTATTTCTTCTGTATTAAAAACACGTCTTCTATCAGTGAAAAATTTTTTAAACTGATATTAACATTTTTAAGCATAATAATTGATAAAAACCAAACATGGTAAAAACCGTTAAGTCATATTTTTAAATAACACCAACCCGATATATAACTTTACTGATAAAAATACTTTGAAGTAAACATATTTATAATATGAGAATCCCATAGAATCATTTATCTTCTTTTCCTGAGTAAAGTTACTAATTTTATTAGAAATATTTCTGAGTTAAAAACAGATAATTAATTTTATCGGAAATTGAAATTCATAATAAATGTCTGAAATATAAAATCAGTTCTAGGAAAAATAAGCTAGAACAACTTAACTGCTTTCTTTTTTAAAGAAATTCGCAAGTTAAGATTTTAAAAATATATAAATACATTTATCGGATATGAAGATTACAAAGCTGTTAATTTTAACAAAATATATTCATGCGAAAATCCAATAAAGAATTTTATACTATTATACTTTATTCAATTTCAGCACATTTTTGTTCTGCGAAAACCCAGTAAATCAATTTTAGGTTACACGAAGTACAACGATTTACCTTTTTGGGCCGGTAGTTCTGATTAGTTCACTCATATCTGGACTTGATTACGGACGTTGCGTTCTCTAACAAGTATTTAGTTTGATGTTGAATTGTGATTGTGATGCGTTCTTGTTTTCGAAATAAACAGTTTGATTTTTATAAATTAGTAAAATGAGTAATCGAAGTAAGGTGTTAGTGGAAATGGTCACCAAAAACCATTATTGAAGACTGGTAAGTAATATTTTTTATGTGTATAATTATACAGTTCCTAGTTATTTGAATTGTCATCCATTAAATTTAAGAGTAATTAGGTGAAATTGAGATGTTTTATTTTAAATCCACTTTATCTCAATAAATTCATTTTCGATATCAAGACCTAAAATTCAGTACTGGGGTGCAAAATTAACCGGACACCATAAAAATGGGTCATTTTTGATGTCTCCTATCTCCTGAACCTGTTGTCCAATTTCAGTAATTTTTTTAACATGTTATAAGTCTTATTCTTTAACAATATCGCTGTAATAATGTTGCTAATCGGGTAAATTTTCATTGTTCCGGGTGTACCAATCAAAGTATGTTTTTTTTTTCAAAGTTCGCATCACCCTGTGGAATTTTTTAGCATTGAAAATTTTCTGGCATATAAAATACTGAAATTAAAATCCAACTATAGCTCCATGTTTTCTTAACGTTTTGTTTTTTGATTCATTCGCTTACATTAGACCATAAAAAAGTTATATTACCACATCAGCCGTCAGATTACTCGTATGCGCGTTCATGGTGAATATTAAATTCCTACTTGTATGTCAAAGAATGTACAATAGAACATATCTGAAACTTCTTTTGAGCTAGACGAAAATCACTGCCGGGTAGCAGAGTATATAGAAAATACAATGGAAGATGATGATTTTAACAGAGGTGACTTCATTTTAGAATAATATTTAATATTAGTATTCTATTTTGGTTTTTATTTCAGAATCTGAGAAGTCCATCGACAAAATTGATGAATTTGACGATACTACTTCTTTATTTGGAGGTGATTATTCTGACGTGGATCCAAACTAACGCACAGAGTCATCTTTAGATTCTGAAGATATTGGTGTATCTGAAAATGATCTCGTAAATCAAAAAAAAGTTTTATAATTAATATTATTAATAATAAATATTTAATAATTAATAACATTAATTATTAAAGACATTAAAAACATATTAACCAACTATTCTAAAGAAGACAATCGCGGAAAACAGGAACCAGTTAACAAAACAAAGGCTGAAGATGTTCAATTTGTTAAAAGTCATATTGAATCCTTTCCGGTTATGGAATCTCATTATACCCGAAAGGATACCATTAGAAAATACTCAGATCCCACTCTAAATATCAAAAAAATGTATTAGCTTTACTTAGATAACTGCATCGAAAATAGTCGAGACCCTGTTGCTTTACGTAAATATCGATCTATTTTTTGTGAAGAGTTTGATCTAAGTTTTTTCACGCCCAAAAAGGACCAGTGTCTTATCTGTGCCAAATATGCTAAAGCTGATCTAGAGCAGAGAAAAAATCTTGGAATAATCTACGAAGAACATAGAAAAAGAAACGAAATTTGTCAGGCCGCTAAAAGAATAGATAAAGACAAAGCAAATAAAGACAAGACATTTATGTCTGTAACATTGGATTTAAAAGCAATTTTACAAATACCCAAAGGATCTATTAGTCAATTATACTATCGTAGAAAATTGGTAGTATACAATCTTACTATTTGGGAATCACTGCTACACAATAACGCATATTGCTTGTGCTGGAATGAAATCAATAGCAACAAGGGTAGTTCTGAAATCAAAACTTGTATGTATTACTATTTAAGTGAATGCTTAAGACCTGAGGTTAAGGGTTAAGCACGTAACAATTTTTTCAGATACTTATGGCGGTGAAAACCGTAATCAATTTATAGTCGTACTGCTGTTGTGAATCGTACAACATATCGACCAATTGGAAATTATAGAACAAAAGTTCTTAGAAGCAGGTCATACTTATATTATGGAAGTGGATTCTATGCACTCGACAATAGAATCTGCAAGTAAACATGTAAATGCATGAATGACTGGGCAAATATATTTCAAACAGCAAGAAAACAGAAAATGAAGACAGTAGACAATGTGAAACATAATATAGGCTCATATAAGGTAAAAGAAATAAAATATAATAAATTTTTAGATTTAAAGTCACTTGCAGTCAATATATTGCAAAACAGAATAGTAGATTCTGACGGTAATACTGTGCAGTCGTTAAAAATCAAGAGACTAAAATATATTAAAGGTGAAATAAGGAAAATTTTTATCAACTACGATCTCTCAGAAGAATTAAAGTGTTTAAACATATCAGAAGATATTGGTTTGAATTAGTATAGTATTAGTATTAGTATAGTTTTGAATACAAAAGTACTCTTCCAATAAGCGAAGCAAAAAAAGGATTTAATGAAGATCTGCCAAGAAAACATTTTTCCCGAAGAGCTGCATGCTTGTATATCAAGTTTAAAAACAGGGAATAATGTCGTAGATCGAATTCCAGACATAATGATGGGAAAAGAATCGGAAGAAGAAGATATTACCTTTTAATTTCCTAAAAAGAATGTAGATTATTATTTGTTTTATTTGAATAAAATACAGTTCATTTTTATTTTATAATTGACAAAATTAAAAATAAAAACCAATAAAATCAATTGTACTCATTCAGCGAGGAAAAACCCGATAAATATCATGTTTTATTTTTTTTTTGTAAATACCTTTTAATAAGTTAAACTAAAAATAAATTATTCTAACTAAACATTAAATTCTCTACTGTTTGGCTTTAACAAATATTTGAAACAACTTCCTATGACGATTTTAAAGCCTCTTCAATGTTACGAAAATCGTTAATCGCGATTATCTCCGAACAATGATTTTGTTAGTTATCGGGTTTTCGCTCGAACCCCTCGAAATATCGATTAGTTAAGTCGACTAGTCGGGGTAGGCATGGTCAGTTGTTAGCTGTCACTGTCAGTCTCAGTTTGTGTTTTGTTTGATGGGGACAACGCAACAATGTAGAAATACCCAGGATATAACCTATAAATAAAATGCTTTGGTCCAAACTAGTCGCT